AGGTTGAGAATTTCCCACAATAACCTGCAATGCTCCAGAATGCCAAAATGACACGAAAATGTAAAGAAATTACTAATAGTGATTTGAAGACTAGATTATTCGCCAAACGATACTCTGTTTCATTTGTTCAACCTTCATGACCACGTAGATTTCATAATGAAGAAAACTTTTTTTTTGCGAAACCTTTTTTTATTCGCACGCTCGCATCAGTTTTGGGGTTCCCAGAGGATGTCATCCGTTTTTATTATAATAATCAAATCAACATGGCCTTACTAGTACTCATATCTCCAAGCAGATATTTGATGGTTACATGATATGCACAGTACATTTACAGGTTTTGCACAGGTGACGGTTCAGTACATTCTGATCTAGCCCACCCCCCACCCCCCAGTTGCAAATACAAATTTAAAATGCATGGACCAAGTGTCAACTGTCATTACCTTCGCCAAGAAGGTTATGTTTTCGTAGGCGTTCGTTTGTCTGTGTGTGTGTGTGTGTGTGTGTGAGCACGATAACTCAAGAAGGGTAAAATGGATTGTCTTGATATTTGGTAGGTGGATAAGTCTTCATGAGACGTGGAACTGATTAAATTTTGGGCCCCCTAGCGGCTTGTTATGGTACTGCAGCTGAACGTCCGGTTTTGATATCTCGTGATCTAGACATGCTAGGGTGACGAAATTTGGATGGTAGGTAGCTCTTGTGCTGGGGAAGAAGTGATGTGAGTTTGGCCTCCCTAGCGGCTTGCTCTGGAACTGCAGGGGCGTTAGTTGAAAAATATTTAAAGGCGGATAACTCTAGAACCGATTGATGGATCGTCGTGATTTCTGGCATGTAGGTAGCTGAAGTGATGCTTAACATAATAATATTATAATTATGCATATATTAATGTAATTTGCATAATTAATGAGGAAATTCTATAAACCAGCTGCATTCCATGATAGGACTATTCAAGTTTGTGACATATGTAATTAAGAATGGCAGAAATACAGGCAGATATTGATTATGCAAATGAAGACCTAATTTGCATAATTAATGAGAAAATGTTATATTTACATAGTGGTAACTGCCTGGTATTTCATACTTGGGATATTTGAAAGTTATGTGAAGGTGAACATAATTAAACATAACTTATTCAAATAAGGACCTCATTTGCATAATTTATGAGGAAATGCTATAATGGCATTCTTTGATAAGATAAGACTGTCTTCTGGTGTAGAATATGATCAACAGATATAATTGATGCAAATATAGGATCCTATTTGCACAATCAGGGGGATTAATCTATAATTTCTTACTCATAAAGGCTAACATCATTTGGCGAAGGTATGAGATCGTGGAACTCTAGTTATGATATGAGATACAAAATCAATCCAAGGTCTATGCATGTTTTCTATTGTACAGACAGATTACTAGTAGTCAGAGAAAGGGGCATAGAAAATACGTTTATTCACATGGGACATTCTAATTTCTTGTCCTACATACAATGTACTAATAAATACAATCTTGGGACAGTACAAGATCAAATCATTAAGAGAATACTTCATGTGTTACTTTTCAGCAATACAAACAAGGTTTGAACTAGAAGGTTGACTATCAGTTGATTACAAACAGTACAAGGACAAATACTGATCACAGCGAAGTAACACGAGTTCTGATTTAGTACAATAACCTCTCTCACACGCTCCTTTCTATACTCACAACGAACCATCGGATTATCATGAAAAGTCACCTGTGTTGGTAGTTACCGGTGCATGTTTAGAGTTAAAACTTTAGATCCAACACAAAAAGTTCTCTCACCTAGAGCTTTCTACCAGTCACTCTGGTCTTCCTCGGTAGACGTCACACTTCAAAGAAGCCACGTGACAAGCCTCACAGTCACTGAGTCAGTCTACTGAGGAAGACCAGAGTGACTGGTCGAAAGCTCTAGGTGAGAGAACTTGTCTTCTTTGTGTTGGATCTGAAGTTTTAACTCTAAACATGGAACAAAAGGATTGCTGACGTGCACTGACAGTATTGACAAACTGATGAATATTGTGGTGGCACAGATAATGTTAGATCAATGTTGATATTGGTACAGTTGTAGGTAGACCAGAGTTTAAAATCTGTAGTTTTCCTTCCAGGAAATTTGAAACATGCCAGCACTGGATGTGAAAAAAAACAAAAGTAGTGTAACAACAATCACATCAATGGCTAAATCGCAGACTCAATGGTTTTCTTTGAGACACCTGCAGCTGTACTGTACATGTAAGGGGGGGGGGGCAATTCAGGCCATTTGCAGATTCCTTCATGATCAGTTGGCCTGGTCATTAGACAGACGTTCTGTATATGCCTGAATGCTTTTTCTACCACTTACTAGTACCCCATTTTTCCCAGTCTTTAGGTGTCCAGTGCATGAGCCTGAATGTATTTTTACCATTTTCTCCGTTTTGCCCAATCCTTAGGCATCCAAAGGCAGACATTCTGTACATGCCTTTGTTTTTTTCTACCACTTCCCCCCCCCCCCACTTTTGCCCAGTCTTTAGGCATCAAGTGCAGACGTTCTGTATGTGCCTTTGTTTTTTTTCTACCACTTTCCCCGTTTTGAAGGTGTCCACTGCAGGCATTCTGTATGCGCCTGAATGTTTTTTTTACCACTTTCCCCGTTTTGCCCAGTCCTTAGGTGTCCAGTGCAAGCATTTTGCGTCGATCCTGATTTTCCTCTTGGCCATGGCTCGGTTGTGCGTGTCAATGCTCTCCTGAGACAGGGTGATGATGTACTGCCCCTTGTAGTAGTTGATGAGGTTCAGGTGTTGCAGGGTGGAGATCACGTCCTCCTTACGGATGCTCGTCAGCTCACAGATCTCGCTAGAATGGAGAAAAAAAAACACCTTTACATACATGCAGTAGAGTGGATTCATTCCTCAAGCTAACCGGCGTCTGTGTGGTGTGGATAGAGCGTCCGACTGTCAAGCAAGAAGACCCAGGTTCAATCCCCAGGGTTGGACCCAGACATGTCCGGACTTGCACCCAGACGTTGTGCCCTTGGGAAGAGGGATCCTGGTCCCTTCTAGGGTTTGGGTTGGCGTTAGGAAGAGCATCCAGCCGTAAAAATCTTGCTTCAAAAAAAAACTTGTACTTGGTGCAAGTACGTCTACCCCCGGTTGGGGAAAAATGACATTAAATTCGGTTTAAAAAAAAAAACGACATCTATCACGCCACAGTTATCCCTGGAGCCAGATACATTGTAGTTCCTGTTTAGAACTTTTAATCAGCCAAGGGACACTTATTTCCAGTATTGTAACTGTGTACAGCATTTCACAACAGCATCACTTTAATCATTACGCAACTGGAAGAAATTAATGCAATAATGCTTGTGTACTTAGCATGAAAGCTCATCTTAGTTGGCCTAATTACGTAATGAAAAATTAAACTATTCTCCAACTATTTGGGAGTGAAGGAAGCCATCTACATCATGGCACAGTAACCTTCTGTTGGCGCTACTGACTTCCGACAAACTTTGACCCAGTGCTGACGTCACACACACACACAGAAAAATCATGTGAGAATAGTTTAATTTTTTATTTGATCCATTGAAATTGTAACAAATACAATACACGTGGGACATAGGCAGCTGTTGCTGGTGTTGTGTCTCACACATAGAAACAAATACAGGACAGGACATTACTCATTCTCACTTGAGGTAAGTGAGGAAAGTTGTGTAAAGTGCCTTTCCCGAGGGCACAAGATCCGCGACATGTCAGGACTCGAACCCGGGACCTCTTGGTTCAGAGTCGAGCACTCTGCTGTTACGCCACCCGACCCCACATTATTACATTATTACATCCTAATTTTCGTTTATGTTTCCTTCTTTACTACTTTTCATTACTACTTTTCATTATTGTAGATAGTATTGTATCGTATTTTATTTTATTGTTTTGTTTCATTTACCCGTTAACCTAAGTTATTTCTTATTTATCCGATTTATTTGAATTGTTAATCACGTTATGAAGGGAGGCCTCCTCATAAGCATTTTATGCTTCCGGCCTCCCTGCACTGTTACATTTCATTTATATTTTCTTGTATTTGTATTGTTACATTTTGTTTTAAAGTGCGAAATAAACTGANTCAAATCATTGAGAAAATACTTCATGTGTTACTTTTCAGCACGATACCAACAAGGTTTGAACTAGAAGGTTGGCTATCAGTTGATTACAAACAGTACAAGGACAAATACTGATCACAGCGAAGTAACACGAGTTCTGATTTAGTACAATAACCTCTCTCACACGCTCCTTTCTATACTCACAACGAACCATCGGATTATCATGAAAAGTCACCTGTGTTGGTAGTTACCGGTACATGTTTAGAGTTAAAACTTTAGATCCAACACAAAAAGTTCTCTCACCTAGAGCTTTCTACCAGTCACTCTGGTCTTCCTCGGTAGACGTCACACTTCAAAGAAGCCACGTGACAAGCCTCACAGTCACTGAGTCAGTCTACTGAGGAAGACCAGAGTGACTGGTCGAAAGCTCTAGGTGAGAGAACTTGTCTTCTTTGTGTTGGATCTGAAGTTTTAACTCTAAACGTGGAACAAAAGGATTGCTGACGTGCACTGACAGTATTGACAAACTGATGAATATTGTGGTGGCACAGATAATGTTAGATCAATGTTGATATTGGTACAGTTGTAGGTAGACCAGAGTTTAAAATCTGTAGTTTTCCTTCCAGGAAATTTGAAACATGCCAGCACTGGATGTGAAAAAAAACAAAAGTAGTGTAACAACAATCACATCAATGGCTAAATCGCAGACTCAATGGTTTTCTTTGAGACACCTGCAGCTGTACTGTACATGTAAGGGGGGGGCAATTCAGGCCATTTGCAGATTCCTTCATGATCAGTTGGCCTGGTCATTAGACAGACGTTCTGTATATGCCTGAATACTTTTTCTACCACCCGTTTTGCCCAGTCTTTAGGAATCAAGGGCAGACATTCTGTACATGTCTTTGTTTTTTTTCACACCTTTTCCCATTTCGTCCAGTCTTTAATAGGTGTCCAGTGCAGACATTCTGCATGAGTCTGAATGTATTTTTACCATTTTCTCCATTTTGCCCAATCCTTAGGCATCCAAAGGCAGACATTCTGTACATGCCCTTGTTTTTTTTCACAACTTTTCCCCTTTCGCCAGTCTTTAATTATAGGTGTCCACTGCAGACATTCTGCATGATCCTTTTTTTCCACCACTTTCCTGTCTTAAGTAGGTGTCCAGTGCAGACATTCTGTATGTGCCTCAATGTTTTTTCTACCACTTTCCCCGTTCCGCCCAGTCTTTAGGTGTCCAGTGCAGACATTATGTGTATGATCCTTTTTTTTCTCTACCACTTTCCCCGTTTTGCCCAATCCTTAGGCGTCCAGTGCAGACATTTTGCGTCGATCCTGATTTTCCTCTTGGCCATGGCTCGGTTGTGAGTGTCAATGCTCTCCTGAGACAGGGTGATGATGTACTGCCCCTTGTAGTAGTTGATGAGGTTCAGGTGTTGCAGGGTGGAGATCACGTCCTCCTTACGGATGCTCGTCAGCTCACAGATCTCGCTAGAATGGGGGAAAAAAAACAAATTTAAATACATGAAGTAGAGTGGATTCATTCCTCAAGCTAACAGACATCTAACACACCACAATTATCCCTCAGTGAGACATCTGGAGCAAGATAGTTCCGTTTAGAACTTTTAATCAGGCAAGGAACAATCATTTCCAGTGTTGTAACTGGGTACAAGCAACCAGACGTCACAACAGCATCACTTTAATCATTACGCAACTGGAAGAAATTAATGCAATAATGCTTGTGTACTTAGCATGAAAGCTCATCTTAGTTGGCCTAATTACGTAATGAAAAATTAAACTATTCTCCAACTATTTGGGAGTGAAGGAAGCCATCTACATCATGGCACAGTAACCTTCTGTTGGCGCTACTGACTTCCGACAAACTTTGACCCAGTGCTGACGTCACACACACACACAGAAAAATCATGTGAGAATAGTTTAATTTTTTATTTGATCTATTGAAATTGTAACAATACAATACACGTGGGACATAGGCAGCTGTTGCTGGTGTTGTGTCTCACACATAGAAACAAATACAGGACAGGACATTACTCATTCTCACTCGAGGTAAGTGAGGAAAGTTGTGTTAAGTGCCTTTCCCGAGGGCACAAGATCCGCGACATGTCAGGACTCGAACCCGGGACCTCTTGGTTCAGAGTCGAGCACTCTGCTGTTACGCCACACGACCCCACATTATAACATTAACAACATCAAAAAAAGGTGTGTACTACTGACTTGATGGTGATCTGTGGCCTCTCCCCGTTCTCCGGCTTGAGGTTGACCAGGATCTCCAGGATGGTCTGTGACCAGTAGCTGCGGTAGGACAGCAGGCCCAGGTCGGACAGAGGCTTCTCTGGAGAGCCCGTCTTCCCTTCAAACTTGGACAGCTCGTAGCCTAAAGGCAGACAAGGAGGGATCAGAACTTTCACAGGTACAGGTACATAGTAAGTTGTAGGTACAGGTAGCTGCGGTAGGACAGCAGGCCCAGGTCGGACAGAGGCTTCTCTGGAGAGCCCGTCTTCCCTTCAAACTTGGACAGCTCGTAGCCTAAAGGCGGACAAGGAAGGATAAGAATAGAATAGCTTTAAATTAATGCAAGTTCATGCCCGAAGGCTAATTGCAAACAGACATTGACAAGAACAATGAGGCCCAGGTCGGACAGAGGCTTCTCTGGGGAACCCGTCTTTCCTTCAAACTTGGACAGCTCGTAGCCTGCAGGGGGAGTGGTAAGGATCAAAACTTTCACAGGTACAGGTACATAGGTTTAGTTACAGGTACAGGTACATAGGTGTAGGTACAGGTACATAGGTGTAAGTACAGGTAGCTGCGGTAGGACAGCAGGCGCAGGTCAGACAGCGGTTTCTCTTGGGAGCCCGTCTTTCCTTCAAACTTGGACAGCTCGTAGCCTGCAGGGGGAGTGGTAAGGATCAAAACTTTCACAGGTACAGGTACATAGGTTTAGTTACAGGTACAGGTACAGGTACATAGGTTTAGTTACAGGTACAGGTACATAGGTTTAGTTACAGGTACAGGTACATAGTTGTAGATACAGGTAGCTGCGGTAGGACAGCAGGCGCAGGTCAGACAGCGGTTTCTCTTGGGAGCCCGTCTTTCCTTCAAACTTGGACATCTCATAGCCTGCAGGGGGAGTGGTAAGGATCAGAACTTTGTTGAATTTCCACAATTGAAGTCAGTAATTCAGCAGAGATTTTGAAAACCATGCATTCATTTTTTTTAAGTCCTGAGCACAAAGAACACAAGACAACATACTAAAAATGCGCAATACAATCTTAAATTGACAGTGAATTGAAGAAACATTTTTTCCCTATTCTAAGCACTGTTGTCAATGCGATCCTTGTCTCTACATGGCCCTGTGTTCCAGATTGTCTCTTATTGTCTAAGAGTAGTGTTGCATACCGGTTCACTGGACTTGGATCCGGACTTGTAAGAATGTTTAGGTTCAAGTCCAAAAAAACCTAAAATTCAAGAACCGAGTCCAAACGTGTTACCAT